TCAATATAATATAATATAATATAATAATATTATTGTAATATTATTAATATAATAAATATAATTATATCAATATAATATAATATAATATATATTATAAAATAATAATTACAATAACATATTGTAATTATAATATCATATTATAATTATATTAATACTTATAATATTATTATAATATCATATTATATGATAAAATAATAATATTAGAGTTATTAATATAATTATGATATTATTTGTTGCAATATTATGTTATATTATATTACGAGTCTGAATTTTAGATTGGAAAGATTGTTGTAAATTTTAAATTTTAATAGGGGTATTATGAAAGTTTTATTAATTATACTATGCTGATTCCCGCACAATCTAAAAGCTAAAGTTGTCTTTAGGTTGCTTCTGATTTTGACTGTAGATTCTTGAAAAATTCTTCAAAAAGCACTTTTGAGGAGATTTACTAAACACTAAAATGAGCTTCTGCAACAAGCAGAAGTTAATTTTGGGAGGGAAAAATAATACCAAACTAAGCCTAAGTGCACGGTCGATACTCAATAGTACACTTTGGATCTGATTTTTTATTTTTTATTTTATTTTAAATTATTATAATTCTATTCAGTTGTGTTTCTATATTTGACATAACCACTTCTTGAATAGCTAGTCGTAGAGCTCAAAGATCCTTAAATTTGTTGAGTAATTAGCAACTCAACAATATGCTGAGTACCAACCAACCTGTGGTTGCAATTCCTCACAAACATGCAAATTAGAGTTAGGACTGTCATCTCCATGGCCCTGGTCCTGGAACTTTGGGACCTTGATCTTGGGACTTTAATATTTTTGAAATTTTAAATATGTTCGCTAATAAGTGATGTAGTTTGTTGATTCACGAAGAATACAAAAAAAATAATAATAATAAAGACGCAAGTAAATCATTGATTTGAATGAACACCAAAGAACAAGCAGAAAGTGGTCTTATCGGTTTAAGTAATGCAAAATTGAATAACAAATAAGTAAAAGAAAGCTTTAAATAGAAAAATCGTAAAATTTTAATCTATTTGAATTCTTTAGTTCCAATCCTATTTAAACTTTGAATTGAATTATCTCTCTATCTTGAACCACAGCTAGCAAAGACTTGGATTGGCACAGCCAGTGTATTGGGCTTCCGTGTATTGGGCTAGTGGGGTTTTGGTAATTTTCCACGTCGACAATTCACAATTCAGACAATAAACGGCAAATGTGGTGTGTTGGGCTTTCAGATTTGACTTCACTCTCTTAACGCCGAACACTTGTATTCGTGTTATTGAAAGCCGAAAGGTGTGGAAAACGACAAACGGCATCACATTACATGTGGCTCAACTGAACTTTTCAACTCTCCAACCAAACCCAACGAACTGACTGCCGCAGTAGCTCACGACTTGAGGTGCCAAGTTTCCAACCCAAACACAACATTTAGGAAATCACTACTCATCATTCATTAATTCATTCATGCTACGACACCAAAAGCAGAAGCTTCATCTCATTCATCATTCATATTCACATTCATATTCATATTCACATTCATATTCATGGGGACATTATTATCTTCGCCGCCTCTAATCTCAATCGCAAAGCTACCACCATGGCCATGGCCATGGCCTTGTTCTTCATCTTCAAGACCTTCTCATCTCAAAAGCCTCTGGGTCTCTCAGTTTAAGCCTTCTGGCCTCCGATTTCCCTCACTCATAGCCGTCCGATCAACGACGCTCACGCTGCTTCTGTTCCTGTTTTTGAATTTGAGTCCACCCGCACCACCAACGTTGTTCCGGGAACACCTGAAGCCCTCGAGGAGGACATAGAAAAGGTTCCATTTTTTAGTTTATTTTTATTTTTTTTTCTCCCGACTCTAACTAATGTTTTGTTTTGTTTTGTTTTTTTGGCAGGTTGTCTATCGGTGTCGCTTCTTGACGCTTCTAGGGGTGTTGGGGTCTTTAATTGGTTCGTTTCTATGCTTCGTCAAGGTACTAAATCATATAAATATTGTTGTGAATAATCTTCTTTTCCTTCCCTGTTTTCAGCAAAATCATGGCTTGCAGTTCTCTGTCTTTAATTAATGAAATTATGAAGTGTTCCATTTGGGATTATGTCCCTATTTTGCCTTTTTCTCTCTCGTGTATTAGTACCTGCTCGGTTAGTAACTGAACTCGTAGTCACCAAGTTGGTGTCTTTTGTGACGTTGTGATTCTGATGCCTTTGTTAGGTCCATGCTTCTTTAGGATTGGCTCCTTTTATGCTTGCAGATGCTCTTGTTCTTTCTTTTCCTTTATTTGTTTATTTATTTTTTAACTTTATGAGACCTTCTGTGTATGATTTGCTGATAGAAATGGAGTCCATTTCTCTTTGCGTCCATTCTCCTTCAAGAAATGTTGAGTTAAGAACAACTTTTTGAGGCCAGATTATAGAACCCTCTTAACAGCCCCTACAAAAATTAGATAAAGCTTGTTTAGCTGGCAAGCCAATCACCATATTCGAAAGCAGTTGGAGACTGATAGATTCAGAAATCTCTAACGAGTCTCAACAAGTCGCGACAAGCTTCTGTAAGTCGATATGGAACTTGACTAGGAGGAGCAGCTAAAAATAGCCTAGGGCCCGGTCGCTTTGTGTGAATTTGCAGTGTTACTGTGTTGGTGACTTGCTACTTTTAGGTGTTCATGGATTATAAAATGAGCTTGAAATGTCTAGTGTGTGAGTGCCATAAGGTACAACGACTGATACGAGTAGTTTTGTATTTCAAGCAAAGTCTATAATAAGCAGAGTATAATAATTTACAGTTCACGGATTTTCTCTTTGGGAATTGGGAATCTGATACTAGACAAAGTTGTGCTGCGGTCATTTTTTGGACTATTTTGACCGAATGATTGATGCTTGTTGAGCCTGACATGCAGGGCAGCACTTGTGTTGTAGAATCCTACGTGGAATATGTTGTAAACCATGGCAAAGTCATTTTGCTGCTTGTTGAGGCAATAGGTGCGTACTTATGATTTTTTTTTTGTCTTCATTTTTCTTTGAGTAAGAAAGTCACGAAACAAATCCGGCTTCTTTTTTTGTTTTTTTTTCTCCCCAGAGATATAACTTGTCTTGCTTGATTGATTTTCACGTCCAATTACATTGTGAAGAGTTTTTCTTCTCAACTTGCACTTGAATTGGAATAGTAATGAAAACCTTTCATTTTGTTTTTCATTTCTGTCGCTTCTTTTCAAGGAAAGGACTGGTCATTTGTGTCCAAACATTGTTATTACATTCTATCTAAAAATGACATTTGCAAAAACAAAGTCGAGCACAAATAACGTTGTAATGACCATTTTTACTTTCTAGAAGTATTTTATACAGTTACTAGGCCCATTCCAGTTGCCACCTTGAGAACAATCCATATCCTGAAACGCTTGAAACATTTGTGAGGCTATATGAGTTAGACTAGACTTTTTTCTTATTTTTTTTTTTGGTTTTTTACGGGATAAGTTGCATGAGTTAGATTTAGACTCACCTTTGTCATTGTATTATTATTTTGATAATAAACAAAAACCTTTGTTGATAACAAATATAATCAATACAAGGTAAAAGAGGACGAGAGATCCTTAAGAACGGAAAAATAAAACAGAAAAAACAGGAAAAGAAAAAAAAAAAGAAAAAAAGAGGACTAGAACCAAAAACAACAGCAACGACCCAAACAAACAAACTAAACTGAACAAAAACCAGAGACTAAAACACAACATTCCTAAACTCCAACATGTTCTCCAGTTCAAATAAAATCAGAGGGAAAGAAAACTATTTGAACTCCTAGTCCTAGTCCGTTGAATCCCAAAGGGAAGCTAAGTTAATAGCCTTATCAGGCAAATCAGCAATCTCTGACTCTGTCTTAAAAAATTCTTCGATTTCTTTATGTTCACATAACCCACAGTAAATGTAATGCCAAAACTAAAGCCTTCCACACGCCTCTCCCTTTGTCATTTGTATTATTAAACTTGTACGTATCTTCAAGAAAAGAAAGGAGCCATTTGCACCATGTCCTCATCAAAGTCTCGTTACACATAAAAGGGACTGTGACATTCATGGATGTGGGGAAAAATGTAAGAAATTCAAAGTTATTTCATGTGCAGATGTTTATCTTCTGGGAACGGTGATGCTCGTGTTTGGAATGGGTTTGTATGAGCTGTTCGTCAGCAATCTTGGTACTGCGAAGTCTGTATCAGAAGAAAAAGCTCCCTACAGATCAAATCTGTTTGGATTATTCACTCTAAAGGTTAGTTTTTGAATTTTGTTGTGGACATGAGCCAGCCATTTTTATGACGCCGCAATGCCTGTTGAGTTCTATCGCATCTTTAAAGTTTTGAAACCTTGTGACAATGATATGATAATATTCTTTTGGGTTCACAGGAGAGGCCGAAATGGTTGGATATAAAAACAGTGAACGAACTGAAAACAAAGCTTGGACATGTGATAGTGATGCTTCTCCTAATTGGTTTGTTCGACAAGAGCAAGAAAGCTGCTATCAACTCTCCTCTGGATTTGCTCTGCTTCTCCGCTTCCGTTCTCCTTTCCTCCGGTTGCCTGTTTTTGCTGTCTAAGCTCAACGACTAAGTTATTATCCTTGAAATAGAGGTGGTTAATATTTTTGCTTTTTTTACTTATTACGAATTTAGGCAGCGCTTTCATCATGCAAGTAATGATGACAATATATACATACAGTTAAAGATGCTTGTTTTGTAGTTACTACTAAGTGGTGGATATAGATATATATGTATGTATGTATATTTCTAACTCAACCGTTCATGAACAAGATCAGAGACATGTTTGCATTCCTACGGACCAGTCTACGGCTTTTTTATAATGTTTGTTAAAAAACTTTTGAAAAGTTTAGGAGAATTCTAAGCAGAATCTAAGAAGCAACTGATTGAGTAAATTAAAAAGCTTGGATCAGATCAAGGTGGTTAATACTTGAATGATGAATTTAGGAAACCTATGAATGATGGGGTAATATTCTCTCAACTAACTACACGAGAGTCGACACAATAAAATAGTGTTAAAGATTAAATAGGACCTTACCTGAAATATCGATGTTAAGTTATTCATCATTTCTCACATCATTTCAACAACAGTATAGTTATTAAACATGGCTCCTTTTAAATTGGTACCAAAGATATCCTTTTAACTGTAGATAGGGCGAAAGCCTAATTTATATCACCTTGAATAAATTAATACCATAAAGTATGGACAAATATGTGATCCTCTACTAGATGCATATATCAATACCATAAAGTATTTAAATGGTATGCACGGTAGATGTATGAGTCACTTAATCACCTTGAATATTTTTACTTTGAACATGTTTAAGAAATGTAAGTGATTCTGTCTCAATTTTAGCTGGTGAAAGCCTTATAATACAATTTACCCAGAGAACAAATTTCACATGAAATTTTACTAATTTGAAAGATCTTCTAGCCTTTCAATGAATATCCATATGGATTTTCAATTATTTTTTACATTATTATTGAACCAGGATGATCGAAATGATCATGCCATAAAATTAATGTCTGAGGATTTTTTTTTAGTTACCATATGAGATTCAATCACATTTATATATGCGTATGAAATTCTGAAGAAAACATTTGTAGTTTTCTACTGTACACTTCTTAGTAGTAAGATACATATATTCCATGCTACTTTCAATCAGGCCTACATGACCTTATATTTAAGGATAGTTTGCGTTGTACCACTATCTCGTATGTAAATATCCTCGACATTAATAAAATTCGAGAATCTGAGATTAATCTACAGAAAAGTTAATTTATGATTATAAGATCACAAATAAGTATACAACTAAATTTAAAAAGAAATGAAAATATATGCTATAATACTATTAATAAGTATGGTACTATTTATAGATACTATTCATAAATATGTTACTGTTCATACGTATAATACTATTCTCAGGTACTAGTTATCGATTCCTTCCATATCATGTTTTCACACAAAGAGCTAGCAAAATCATAATATTTCGTGAAATTATTCAAAGATCATAACACAACATTCATGAAAATCAAGTACAATATCAATACGTTCAAGCACATTTATATATATATATATATATATATATTTCAACAAGATTATCAATAAGTTTGTGATGTCAAGATAAATTAAGTAATTGATAGGGTCATGGTGTTCATTAAAATTGACCTCCTTTTCTTTCCCATTTAGAGATGTCTTAAAAAAAATTATAACGACAAAATTATAAAAATTATAATACGTTGGTGGCATAGCCTTCCGTGGCATTAATATAAAATAATAGAGTACATTTACATACATTTCACTTGAATTAATAAACATAGAAACTTGTAGTAGGACTAGGGTTATGACCTACTTTCTTTTGACTTTAAGATAGATGCTTGTAATTGGATCAGAGTTTCCTTTCCTTGAATTAATGAATGTAGACAATCGCAGTAAGAATAGAATGTTCATGTTGATAACATGTTATGAAAACTAAGAAAATACAAAAACTAAGAAGAAAAACTTTAGAAAGAGAAAGTTTCATTAATTTTGTGTAGGTATATAAAATGAAAAACTTTAAAATTCTATTTATAAGAAAATTTTTAACATTATTCACGGTTACTATTTACACAATATTTATTATTTATACAGTAAAATTTTAATATGAACAAAAATTTTGATTGATTTGTATAATAATTTAAACTAACTTACATAATAACTTTAACTGAATTGGATAATTACTGTTCAGAACGAAAAGGTCTTTTTTAGAAAGCCAAAATAGTCTGGCTATCTCCACCATTAAATCAGATTCTTAGACGTCTCATCAAAGCAGCCACACTTACAAGATATTATTAAGTATTAAATCCACTAATAGTGGTCAAAGAAAGTCCCATCCATAAATTTTTGCGGAGAAAATGAGAGTTTCTCTTATAAGTCGTTGCAGTGGTAGTCATTTGTTAAATCTAATTAAAATTATATTAAATTAAAAAAAATATAAAATAGATAAATTTTGATATATATTTAATAATTAAAAAATAAAAATTTATTAGTAATTTATTTTTTCAGAGATTATAAAAAAACTCCCCTAAAAAATTATATAATTTTTAATCTTTAAATACATAAAAAAAGACAAAGCCACTTTCCACTTATTCTTCTCCACTTATCAAGCTCAAATTTTATTTCTCTTCTTTTCGGTTTTTTTTTTTTTTTATCTCTGTCTATTTATTTGTTCTTTCATTCTTTCTTTCTTTTTTTAGGATAAAATAATTTTGGACACCGTATTATAACAAAATATATTTTTAATATTTTGTTTTTTTAATAATATTAAGATGATACTTTGACATTTTTAAGATATTCTTGGTGATTTTTGAGACGTAAAATGACTTCATTAAGAAATATGAAACATGTAAAAATACTATGGCCACGTATAAAAACAACACGAACCTTTTGGAATGAGTTGAGCGTAATTAACTTAATATGGAGATATACAATATTCTTAACCACCTTTGAGGTAATCATGGCATTTTTTGGTTGAAGTCATGTAGTAGGTGATAGGAATGTGGGTTTTTGTCATCTCGTTGTGCATATTGTGCATACTCTTCTCTAGACGTGGGCCGCCACCCATTTAGTAACTACATCTTTCATTTGTCGTTTAATAATAATATTATCTTCAATATCTTGGGATAATACTTTTCTAATAACATTCCTTATATTCAAAGAAACCTTAATCGTCGCAGGACAATCAAGGACTATCTGTCTATCTGTCTATATTAAAACTAAATATTTTAACATCCAACTTCATCAACTGATCACTGCTCGTCATCCATATATATTGTGTTAAATCATAATTTTGCATGATCATACTTTTCTTGCAAAATGCGCCTTAGTTTTTTGATCTATTATTGTGCCATGCCATAGGGGAAAGAATAAAAAAAAAAGAAGAAGAAAAGAACACACGGCATGTGTGTGTATATGCATTTATATATAATAATGATAATTGTAGAGAGTGACATCTTATAATTGAATTTATAAGAGGCTAATAATTGAGTCTAGACGGTTCACGATATTAATATCGGATCACAATAAATAAATGCGGAAAAATAAATTACTAGAACACGAGAAATTTTATAATTATGTCTTCTGTAGGATCTTTGTGATGTTTCCACTATATTCAATGATAAGTTACAACGATGTAGAGAGCAAGAAGAGGAAGAGAGAATAGGGTAATTCGGACAAGCAAAGAAAATCTGAAGTAAACTAAGCAAAGAAAATGTGCTCTGTGCGTCCTGGAGAATATTGTGTAGAACTCCAGGAATGCAATATGGAGGCTATGGCTTGCTTATAGGCGCGTGGGATGTCCTCTAGGCATGAATTAATCCCCTTTTTATAGTCTTGATGGCGGATCTTATTGTTGGACAAGGATTTGCTTTTGAAATTTGAACCTTTGGTTTTCCAGCTTGCGGATGAGAATGAGATAATCCCTTTTTGGAGGAAATACGTATATTCTCGTTCAAATCTTAATTTCACGCTAATTAAATAGAGAAAATGGTGGAGAATCTGCCCAGTATCTTAGAAACTTGCGCGCTAAGTTGGTAGGGCTATCGCACAGCTCATCAAATGATATTTTATTTAACCCTCTAAGGAAAATTTATTTATGTGTCATTTTGAAAAATGATATTTTAGAGTAAATTTATGAGCAAAAGGACTTTTTACCAAAATAAATAAGCAAAAGAATAAAAATAATTAATAAAGACTGCATCTACATGTAATAAAATAAAGATTACAAAACAATGATGGCACGAGTTCTGTCACAGACCCTCTTATTAATGCCCTGAAAAAATGAAAAAGGATTAGCAAAAACAAAACGAAAAATAAAATGGATAGTACATCAGGACAAAATACATAGACTAATTTTTTGAACAATGATTGTAAGAGAACTCTGATATATATAATAGTAATAGATAATGGGTATACTGGTTTCCTACCCCGCTTTATTTATTTATTTTCTCTCTCTCTCTCTCTTTCTGTGGAGAAAATCGATAAAGTATTCCTGAGTTTTAGCTAAATCCTCCATTTATCCCTAAGTTTCTTACAACTCAAAAACGATCTCCTGTATTTTTAAAATTATCCCAAAACTTTACGGGGTTGTTCTTTTGGAGTGTAATTTGAGTGTAATTTTTGAGTTGAATTTGAGTTATAACTTGAGTTGAAGTTGTAACTTGAATAAAGTTGAGTAAAACTGAATAAAGTTAAAACTTAAAAGAACATGAACTTGAATAAAGTTGAAACTCGAGTTATCTTTTTTTGAGTTTTTTAGACAAAAGAACAACCCCTACATCTTTCAAAACAGTGAGAAAAATAACCCTTTAACTGGCTGTCTAAGTTAAATTTAGGTATTGTTTTAGCCATTAACTATATGTAAAATTTTTAAAACATAAATTTGTACTAAATAGTGAAAAAGAACAAATATTTTTAAAAAATCATAAAAAAAGAGCTAGCGTTTTTAGATGATTGGACGGAGCAAGATTTAGTATAAGACGAGATCAATTTGACTAGTCTAACTACATCAGTCTTGTATGGCAAGGGTGCGAGATCTTGTGTGGAGCTAAACCAGTCTAACATGTTAAGTTTTAGATTTTTTTTCCTTCAAAAAATAGGATTTATTTTATTGCAAAATTTAACTCTTTTCCCTAAATTTAGTTTATAAGTTATTAATATTGAAGATAATCTTTAAATATTGATCAGTAAGGATATTTATATCAATGGAGAGCTGTTTGGCCAAGTGGGCTACTCTTTGTAGCGTTTTTTTGGTTTTTC